GATGTTTGTGCAGCAGTTGTGGGTGCCATAGTTATAGAAGCAGTAGATGTTTTTGCTGCTTGTGGTATTGCCGCTAAAATACATCCCCAGAGCAGAGTTTAACTTCTGAATTTAGTCATTGTAATGTAAATGTAATAAGAGGCTTATGTGTGTTTGTGTACCAAATTTTGCATAATATGCAGGCAATGTGTTTAAGAAGTCCACTTACCCATGAAAAGCAGGAAAATTAAAATGATGTGTCCGACACCCATCCTTTTTTTCTCTTTAAATCTATAAAATGAAATAATTTTAACTCAAAGAAGCAGTTTTTTAGGCCTTTGCATCACAGTTGGAATGTACCTGAAACTTTACATGAGAAATTTGTACAACAACCAAAACAATGAAAATACTTTTTTTTTTTTACCCCTGTCCTGTTATGTTCTTAACAAATCATTTCATACTCTGGATTAAGTATGACAAAATGCGTCTTTCATTTTTGTGAAATCAATGTAAATGTCACCATGGTCTGGGTTAATAATTGATCCTGACTGGTTGAAAGGTGTCCATTAAAAAGATAATGGATATATACTAAGTTTTACTGGTGACACTCTGTGTTCACAATTTTATATTAATGCGCCAGCTACAGAGTAGTTTCAGCTTGTATCTAATACTAGTAAGGGACGCAGTCAAATCCTCCGTTTACAGTATATTTACAGCACTGAGAGTAGTCCTTCAATGCCTCATCCTCTGAACTCCACAGGTGGGAGACTGTAACACATGCTGCGGACACCACGCTGCCCCTCTGAACCTTAACAGCCATTTCACGTCCCACTTACTGTCCAGCTCGCTTCATCAGGATGTGGCCAACAGTAACATTACACATGGTATATTATTTGGTTGCGACAATATTCATATTGATTTGGGGACACTGACATGGCTGGATACCTAGCTTGTCTTTTTTAACATACCCTCAAATTGTATTTACTGTTTGTGAACTGTATGCAGTGTTGCAGCGTTGACGTTGTGGGATCTTGCTGGTATGATTTTAGCTTTCTGGCTAATAGCAGTTCTGTGAGCTGAGCACACTTGAAATATCTCCTGTTGCAAAGTCTGATCTGAGGTTTTTCCTATTTACTGGAGTAGTGAATAATGTTTTCATTGTATAAGAACCTTATGGGGCAGTAATGATTGTTTCAGATATTAGGTAAACCTTAAGGTGTTACCAGGGAAACCGAGTTGTTAATTCTGAAAAACTTTCCATTTTGCCATGACCTCATGTTGCAGCATGATAATGCAGACCCTATGTTGCAAGGATCTGTGCACAATTCCTGGAAGCTGAAACATCCCAGCTCTTGTGTGGCCAGCATACCCACCAGACATGTCACCCACTGAGCATATTTGGGATACTCTGAATTAGTGTGTATGACAGCGTGTTCCAATTCCTGCCAATATCCAGTAACCAGACAGTTTGCAGTCTCTTCAAAGATAAATGTACTACTTCAGTACAACACTGTAAGTTGAGGTTTTTTTTCCTTCAACAACAAATGCTACTGGTTACATTTAGCCAACATGCATGTGGTAGGGTTTAGGCAACAAAAGCACGTTATTAGATTTAAAAAAAAAATAACAGGGTTTGGTTTTGGTTTTTACAGTATATTCAAATGGGAAGCGAACACCTCCCACCGACCCTACTTGGACTTTTCGCCCCCATGACTTATTTTGTTGTGGTGCTGCGTTTCCACCCTTGACTGCATCTGGTACTGATTTACACTGACGGCGCCCAAGTGCAATCATGCCAGCTTTTTTTTGGTCTGGGTCTGATGCAGAAGTCTTTGCCCAAGTGCTGGTATTCAGTGACTTTGGAATGAGACTCGGTTGGGAAGCCAGTCAGTCCCCAAACCCCCATGTTAAAATGCCCAACTTTACATCAGAAATAAACGTGTTTACAGCCTTTGTAATAATTGTTCAGGAGCAAATAAAATTTTATGACTCACCCGTTTACATTTTATTAAGGCTTAAAGTTGCACCTAATTACACATGGGCTGCTTTGAGTGACATGCTGTGTACCGATGAGGACCTTGGCTTCTCAGTAAGATCCACCCCTTGCCCCCCTACAGTGCCCAAATATGGTCACTCCTGGCTCCAAAATGCCCAAGATGGCGACAGCTGAAATCTCAAACTGTAGGTTTCAAAAGGGGAGTCCACAAACTAGTATATAATAATATTAATATAATATTTTCACAGTCTATGGTAGTAATCATGCTTTTTAATCAGCATCTTGATATGCTACACCTGTCAGGTGGCTGTATTATCACGAAAAAGGAGATGTGCTCACTTACATGGATTTTAACAAATCTGACCAAAATTTGAGAGAAATAACTTCTTTTGTGCATAAAAAAGACTTAGATCTACAAGTTAAAGGTCCAGTGTGTACAATTTAGTGGCATCTAGTAGAGAGTTTGTAGACCAAGTATGTAAATATAAAGTAATAGAATAAAATAAATAGAAATAGGAATTAAAAATGTGCATTATGCTACAATATTTAACACAAGTACTTAAGATATTAAGAAAAAAATATGTTCACTGTGCTGATTCTGTAAGTGTGTAAAAATATGCATGCTGCATTACGTTGTATAGACTAGTGTTACATTCAGAAATATAAGATATGTGTTATGCCATAATGTTCACTACAAAATGATAAAATGAATAATAAAAACAAGAATAAGAATAAACCTAAGAAATGTGTTCAGTTATGTGCATTCATGTTGAAGCTTACAAAGTGTGCAGCTCACCACTAACATTCAGTGTCCTGCTGATCCCACAAATGAACGTTTGTGTCTCTGTTGTGATAGTTTCTGACATAATCACTGACTGACTGACTGACATAATCATACAGTAGTTACAGGAGCTGCAGTGAAACAACAGCACCTTCCTGAAAAGTACAGAGATTTAAAACAAGAAGCAGTCGTAGCGCTCGCTCTCTCCTCTTTGGCATTATTTAAAAAAGATGCCAGCGCTCAGAAAACAACAAAAACAACAACAACAAAAAACAGAGGCCGTAAATCCTACACACTGGACCTTAAAACTTCTGCAAAAGGAAAAGTGTTGAGTTTGAATTTTTTGTTCAGTATATCATTTTTTTGTCTTTTTTAATGAGTTTGCACCTGATGCAGTGTAGTTTTACCATACTACGAAAAGAAGATTAGATGTGTCATGATAATGGGGATGAGGGAAAAATTTACTTGCAATTTTAATTGGGGAAAAAAAAACATATCAGCTAAAGAAGTGGGATTTCACAGCGTATTCCAAAAATTTTTGAACATCCTTTGTTAATACCTTAAAAAAATGTGGTAATGCGTACTAATGAAACATGATTTATAATGAAACACAAATGCATGAACATTCCAAAAATGAGGAGAGCTTATTAAAAGAATCTCTTGGCATCTGTGATATCGCAAACATTTCATGCTATGTGACAAGCCACATCTATTAAGGCCTATTAAGGCTATTAAGGCCAATGACGTGCCTCATAGGTGAGACACTGCTCAGAAATGTTGTTACACCTCACCAAGGAACAACACAAAATCTCAGGATACAGAATTTCATTTGTCAATCTGTCAGTTACTTGGCTCGATATAATGGCATACTCCCTTCTTTTGAATTCATGCATTCCACCTACTGCATGTTCACGTTGAAAGGAGTTCCACCCATGTGGAATGGAGCAAGAAGGCGCAAGAAGAAATGCATGAGAAAATTTGTTTGCATATGTAAACATAAAGAACTAATATTGTACATGATATTCAGAGTTATCAGAGTAAATGGATGATACAGTATGTTTATATGGACATATCAAAAGAAAAACATTTCAGCTTTATTTTCTAATATTTTTCTGAGTGTCAGGTCTTGACATCAATGTTTTCTAGTATGAAATCACTATTTTTAATCAACTGTGATAATTTACTTGTAGTTTTCTTTCAATGGCAGTGTCAAAAGGAAAAACAAAATGTAAAAGTGAACAATTGCAGCATGTTGTTGAAGCTTGGCATGCTGCTTATACAGGGTTTCTGGAGAAATCACCATTTTAAATGAGAGTTTTAAAAACCTTTTTAATGCTGTATACAATTTAATGCTTGTTGTATGACTACACTGGTCAAAGTATGGATGTATGATGGAAAACCAGTGGTAAAGATACAGCCTAAAACTATTTGATATTAAATCACATTTTATATAATATATAATAATTCTGAATGATATAATTAATTAAATTATTGCAACCTGGACCCACATACACAGCTGGATGCCACAAAAATGATGAATTATTTAATGTTTTTTTAAGCTTTTGCTTAAATTTAAAGTCGCCTATTATGAGTCCGTGAGCTTCCTAGCTGCTGTAGCCAGCAGTAGCAACAGTGCTTACTCCAAGTCTGTGGGTGCTGACTGACACTCCACATATAATACTGCACATACTGCTGTTAATAATCTAACAGCCTGAATCCTAAATAAATGCACAATCCACTGTAGCAACAATTCCACTTTTTGTTTTTAAGTGTGTGACATCTCCTGACAGCTTAAAGATTTTAAAATGTACTTACCCTAAATGTAAAATGGAAGATGACAAGATATAAATTCCCCCCTTCAGTCTGTTTTTGATGTTTTAAACTTCAGTTTAAATTTCACTGTCTTTTGATTCAGTCTAGTTCATACCTGTTCAAACCTTTCACCCTGTGTGACAGTCCACATCTATTAAGGACTTGTAATAGAATGGAATTAAAGCTAATCACGTGACTCACAGGTCATACTTTTTTTCAGAAATGTTGTGACTCCTTAGTGATAAACAATAAAAACAAAACCAAATAACAGGACAGAGGCTGTCAAATGTCAATTTGTCATTTTCTTGGCTCCATTTAATAGCACGCTCCCTTCTTTTGTCCTGTGAAACTGGTTGCTGAATGCATTTACATTTCACCTATGTGAATTATGAAAGAAGTTCCACCAGTGTGACAAGAAGTTATGCCAAACAAATAAATATAGATTTCTGGTGACGTGGTAATGGAGCTGGAAAAAAGGCAAGAAAAGAAAAAGCTAATATGGTTACAGAATCGCAGGTTCAGATATACTTAACTAATATAACACTTGGAATATATAAATAAAAAAATGTAAATTAGTGACAATACAGTTAAAGTACAAAAAATATCGTTAATTTGGACATATAAAAAGGTGCAGGAGTCATGGCAGCGGCTGTTTTTGAAGCCGTTGAGTAGCTTTATTTTCTAATATTATTCATACTACCAATTCATGACATCCATAAGTTAATAAATGGTGAATGTCTACCTGTATTTCTCCTCAGAACTCAAAGTCAGTGAAAATACAGAATTTTTAAAGTTAAAAATTGCAGCATTTGGCATAATAAATACGACTAAACTGCAGGTGATCATACCATGTTTCTGCAGGGTTCACCAAGTTAAATGTAAGACTTTTAACATTGTTATTAGACTTTTAACATTGTTATTATTGTCTTACAATACCTGTTTCATGTTGCTGGCCAAAGTACATAAGTATAATGGAAAACCACCAGGGAAGATAATGCCTAAAATTATTTTCACCAAATTGTTTTTATGACTTCCTGGCTATATATAAGAACAATTTTTAATGGTATTATTAAGTTAACACGACCATGACCCAAACAAGAGGCATTTCATTTTGTTGAAGCTTTTGCCGTAATAAAGCACAAGCTTGATACAAGTCAGTGTTAATGTTTGTGGGGTGGGGGTGTTATAATGCAAGATGACATAAAAAAAAAAAAAAAACATAAAAATCTAA